ATGAAGAGCATTAGCTTTTTGCTCCAGGATGACAGACACCACATCTGGATGATTATAGGCAATCGTCACGTGCAGTGGTGTCCGCAGGTAGACGCTGCTGTCCGCTGAGCTGGGCGAGGATGCAGGCTCCTTTGGTCAAGGCAGGGCCTCCTCCGTCTGTAGGTCCACCCTTGGTACTGGGGAGTGAGGTGGGCCTCATCTGAACTCCATGGACTAAGAATCAAAGGTGGTTCCCTGAAAACATGCTAGACAAAGAAGAAAGAAGGTCCTTTGCACTTGACCGGTCCTGTCCCAGGCTCCGTCTGTCCCCATACATAGTCAAGCTCCCCAGGCTCTCCTGCATTTGGTCAGGAGTCAGCCTCACAGACTGACAAGTTCATGCTCAGTAGGCAGTTCAGGTCCTAAGTAGTCATCAGTCTCCCCCACGCAGCTCCTGACATCAGATCTGCGTCTACTCTTACAGCAAACAGCAACAGTGGCGAAGCAGGCAGATTCCTAGAGTTTGCCCCCGAGTCTGGTTTCACCCTGAGTGAAGCCCCTTCCCTTGCCTCTGAGGCAGAGATCACTGAGGCAGGCTGTGGACAGAGATGGGAACTCCGAGACCGCTCCGGGTGGCTGTACAGCTTGCACCTAGCTCACGCTTTGCTTGCCAAGCCATGCCCTGACACAGGTCTGCGCCTGCCCAGAGGAAGGGGCGCCTGCTCACAACTCATAAGGCTCTTTACGGACTAACAGCTGCCTACCTGCAGCACAGGGACAGATAAGGGGAGACAGACTGCCCCAAGGCTGATCCAGGAAGAATTTCAAGGCTTGCAGTTAGACCTAGGTCACCTGGCTTGAGTAACAGAATGATTGCCTTACGAGGTATTTTTGTTGTTTCTGGGTGTGCCGTGCCTGGGGTCCAAAGGCAGCCAACCTGCAGTTCTGCACTCCTCCATTCTGGCAGACGTCTTCCTGCCCGCTGGCTGCCAACGTCACCAAACTCTGAGGGATGCTTCTCTGGGAACTGACACAAGAGACCATGGGGAGCCCCCTGGATGTACCCTGGTCTCATTTCTATCCCTTGGACTGCTTTCAGCTCCTTGGGGAATAAACCAAAACAAAAGAACTCTGAACTGGATCCAAGTGGTCATTCTTGCCCAGCCTCAAACCCAGACCAAACTCCACAGTCAGCCAGCTCATCAAAAAGCTGTGTGGCTCCTGCCCAAACGCTGAAAACAAGCAAGTGAGGCTTTCTGGAGGAGTTATGGGCACATACCAGGAAAGCCATTTATTATATTCTGAGCACATTACAAGTGATTTACATACATTATCTCATCAAATTCCACAACAGACCCACCTCAATATCTTCTTTTTAAAAAGAGAAAACTGAGGTTGAACAATTTGCCCACGATTACAGAACTGCCAGCTAACTGAGGGACCCCATGCCGTCACTCTCCAAGTCTTTCCTTTGCTTGGGGGGAGTTCTATCAGGGCTTCCCACCCCATATACTGAGATGTGCCTCCCCCATAGCATCTGACTGTGGGGTAACCCTGTGAAGAATGGGCGAGGTGACCTGGCACCTCCAGAACGTTCCCTGGGATCCTACTCTCTGGTCCCAAAGGCAAGAGGTGCATGAGTCCCAGCTCCGGTGTTTCCCTCCTTTGAGAGGTCTCAGAGGAGCTGCTCACGTGGGCAGCAGGCTAAGGCTCCCATTCAGACATGGCTTCCTCGCCATGGGAGTTAAAAGATGAGGGTCATATCAGCTCTGAGGTTCTCTGACTCCCCAGGTAGGATTGTTTCCACTGTTGTGCTCCAGGTTCTATAGAAAATTCTAGGTTTTGTGCACTCAAAGCAAAATCTGAATGTCCTTAGAGGAGGTCTGGGTCCCTTTGGACTGGTGCCCCCTATCCTTCCCTTGGCTCCAGAACAGCCCACTGAGATATCTCACATAACAGATACCAGGATAGGATGGATCCCATGAGCAGTATAAGCTCCAGCTCAGTGGTGTCAGTGGTGGGGACTTCCCTGGTGGTCCAGTGGCTAAGACTGCGCTCCAATGCAGAAGGCCAGGTTCGATCCCTAGTCAGGGAACTAGATCCCACATACCGCAACTAAGAGTTCGCATGCCACAACTAAAGATCCGCATATCGCAACTAAAGATCCTACATGTAGCAATGAAGATCCTGCATGTGGCAATGAAGATCTCACACGTGGCAACAAACATCCCACGTGCCGCAACTAAGACCCAGCGCAGCCAAATAAATAAACATTAAAAAAAAAAAAAAAAAAAAACAGTGTCAGTGGTGGCCCAGGTTCTGTCATCCCTTTGCTCCACCTTGTCACTGTGTGGGCTTTGTTCTCAGATAGGCTTTTAAGAGGCTGTCTTATTCTTGTATCTGTTTCATTCAAAGGAATGGAAAGCTTTCCCGCAGGCCCCCAGTAGACACACTTCTTTGCCCATCACTGGCAAGGAGATCACCATATTGAGCTAATGGCCAAGGGACCAAAAATGCCAGGAGGTCAAATACCCTGACCACTACTGCCTTCAAATTCAGCACCTGGGGCTTCCCTGGTGGCACAGTAGTTAAGAATCCGCCTGTCAACGCAGGGGACACGGGTTCAAGCCCTGGTCCTGGAAGATCCCACATGCCGCGGAGCAACTAAGCCCGTGCGCCACAACTACTGAGCCTGCGCTTTAGAGCCCGCGAGCCACAACTACTGAAGCCCGCGCGCCTAGAGCCCGTGCTCCGCAACGAGACAAGCCCCGGCAACGAGAAGCCCACGCACCGCAACAAAGATCCAGTGCAGCCAAAAATAAATAAATAAAATTAATTAATTTTAAAAAAAATTCAGCACCTGTGGGCTCCTCAGGGTACTGAAGGCCAGGACAGGATAACACATTACAGAGCCCATCAGGGTCCTAAGTCTGTCTCCAGCTCCCCACAGTGGGGCTTCTCCTTCTATTCGCGAGGCATCCTTGTTTTGTACCTGGTAAGCCACTTGGTAGTTTGGCAAGCCCGGTATAGTTTTCCGTAAACCTCGTGTAACTGCTGAACCCCATGATATCTTAAGTCTTGATAATTAGTAAGTGGAGCCAATTACCTTTTCAAAGTTTAAGCTCATCCCTCGTTATGACAATATAATGCTGTCCCATCTTACTGCAGCCTGGAGGACTGTACTTATATCAAGGCACCACCTCAGGTCTGTCTTTTCCTGGTAGTGTAAGATATAAAGGAGTTCATTCATGCTCCTCTGAGGTCCTGTTGAAAAAAATTATGTGATATAAATAGACTAGATAATCCACATCCCCAGTCATCTTTTCCATGGGGTGGATAAAGGGATCAGAGATGTCCTGGGGCATCCCTTCAAATTGATAAACTTCCATGAGTAAGTAAGAATGTGGGTTTTTTCCTCATCAACTATAGGTGTTTCTTAGTACCACTCCTCACCCAATACCACCAACGCCCTGTCTGGCAGTGGGTCCCATCTGTGAGAAGACCTGTACCCATTCCCAGGTGCTGGACTGTTTTTTCCCACTACTACATGGGGGGTGGGCTGAGGTTGTAGGTCTTGCTGATAATTAGCAGCTCTTTAAAGGGCCATAAATCCATGATTTCAAACAATAAAATCTATCTTAATCTGCTCTCAGCAAACATAACTCACATTCCATTCGTGGAGGAAGAAAAGGTAGCTTAGGGCTTCCCCTTCAGTCTCTCCTCCTGGTCACTGGCTGTTTAGAAATCCCCAAGATCAAAGCCCTCTGGATCTATGCAGATCCAGGTCAAACAAACCCAGGAGAGGGCAGAGGAGCAGTACTTGGTTCTGTGTGGCCTCTGCCCACTCTACCCACCACACCTGTGGGGAAGGACCACTCTGTACTTACATGCTGCCTTTGGAGGGTGCCAACTTATTTTTTGTTGTTTTTGAGAGTGCCAACATTTTTTAAAGGCTGGATTTAAAATCAGACAGAGATTCAACCCAGGTCTCACTCCAAAACCGTTTTCACTTTGCCAAAATCCTGTGCTGTTCATAGGTCTGTCTGCCTAGAAAACCCAAGGGAGTCCACTGGAAATCTATCAGAGGCACAAAGAGAGCTCAGTAAGTTAATTGCTTTTAAAATAACTTTAACCACTTCAGACAATATAATGAAAAAAGTTGGACTTCCCTGGTGGTCCAGTGGTTAAGACTCCAGGCTTCCACTGCAGGGGGCACGGGTTCCATCCCTGGTCAGGGAAGTTCCACATGCCACATGGTGTGGCAAAAAAAAAAGAAAAGAAAAGAAAAAAGCTACTATTTAAGGTACTTGCTAAAATCAGGGTGACTCCTTCTCTGGGCTATGTTTCTAGAAAGAATCAAAAGAAATTGCTAACAGTGGCTGCTTCTGGGGAGGAAAACTAGGTGACCTGGGATAGGCGTAGTTCACTATACTTATGAACTTTTGATCATTGTGCCATACGCACGTTACCTATTGAAAATAAATAAATAAGATTCCATGGGAATTAAGAAGCAGTGAGGCAAAAACTTCAGGACACTAAGGGGACATTAAAAATCAGGACATTAGACCTGCCATTGAGTTATTCCATCACCTCTCCTTTACTGTCAATCTGAAACAATATTAAACAACACTCCAGTGCCATCATACATATTTCAACCTTCTGTAAGGAAATGTATTGTCTGTTCAAACATCTAAGAAGATAGGAACCTCCTCTCTTATTTTTTAGGGATAGATAACAGAGGTTTTGCAGTTAGCAGTTGAGTTTGCTCTGGTGGAGAGTTTATTCTTATATTTTTGTCAGGTTGAGATACGATTACCTTTGTTTCAGAAGGTTCAATGTGCATATCTTTTTCTTTTTTAAAAAAAGTTATTAAACAATAATATATCATCGGGCTTCCCTGGTGGCACAGTAGTTGAGAGTCCGCCTGCCGATGCAGGGGACACGGGTTCATGTCCCGGCCCGGGAAGGTCCCACATGCCGCGGAGCGGCTGGGCCCGTGAGCCATGGCCACTGAGCCTGCGCGTCCGGAGCCTGTGCTCCGCAGCGGGAGAGGCCACAACAGTGAGAGGCCCGCATACTGTCAAAAATTAAATAAATAATATATCATCATTTTCAGCAGAAAGAGTTCTCATAGCAAAATCTTGCAAGCATGTAGATGTTCTTCACAATTATTAAATTTCTCTTTTTTAAAAAGTACACACAGATCCTGGGTATCTTGAGTGCTTTTAAGAAGGAAATCATGTGTAATTTAAGTAGAAGTGTCCTTAGTCATAATGCACCTATCCCACGTTTCCCAAGAGAGTAAACAATTATTCATTGTATGATATAAGGAGGCTTCAGTTATATAAAAGAAAAATGGGGGAATTACCTGGTGGTCCAGTGGTTAGCACTCTGTTCTTTCACTGATGAGGGGCTGGGTTCGATCCCTGGTTGGGGAACTAAGATCCCGCAAACTGTGCAGCGAGGCCAAGACAAAATTAATAGAAAAAAAGCATGGACATGGGGTCCACATTTTTTCTTTTACCTCAGGCTCCAATATGGCTCAGCAGAGCACTACTCTGTTTTAAATTGTTCATATTTTGTTCATCATAGATATCTTTTGCACTAATTTTGATGTTTTTAAATATTACATTATATACTACTTGATTACTGAGTTTTTGGTGCCCCCTTCAATTTTAAACCCAAAGCACTTGCCTCGCTTTAGAGTCCTGGCTCTGCCCTGTCCTAATCCTTTTTACGTTTATCAACCTCCCTTCCTAGGTTAAGGGTGTCCTGAGGAGAAGGAAGTAGATTGTTTACTTTCGTGTCTCTGGTCCTACTCAATACCTAGCACAGAGCTAAAGCATGGTGGGCTAACATGGTATTGTTGAAGGTAGGAAGGGAAGAAGGACAACAGCTAGTGATAACAACTGACATCCTAACATTTATTGAGTGCTTATTGTATACCAGGCACTGGGTTAAACGCTTTACTTATTTAATGTAACAACTCAACAGTAAAAATAATATTATACCTTTTTACGGATGAGGAAGTTGAGGCCCACAGAGCAGAGTGAATTGTGATGCATGAGTGATTACGGCAGAACTTGGAACAGCTCTGCTTGGGCTCCTAAAACATTTCTCGCTTTGATGGTTTCTCTTCAGAGCACGGGAATGAGATGAGAAAGAGGAAGGGGGAAATAGGGGGAGAATAGAGATAAACGGATGTAACAGAGGACCTGAACTATGCCATTTTCACATCAGTTCTCAGCTCCACCTGCACAACCACCCCTAAGGCATCATTAGTCCTTACAGATAAGAAACTGAGACTAAAGATGTTCAAGGGATGTGTTAGGTTCCTTCCGCTGGTCAGGCACCTGCAGAGGGTGGGGGAGGGGTACAGTCTGGGGCAGGGTGGGTGGGCCTGCCCTCCCTCCTGACCTCCCTGGGGTGCTCGTGGCAGCTTCTCGGTCAAACTTTCCCTCCCAAGTGAAGCCAGCACCTCCTCCTGGTGGGCAGGTCTCCTTCATTCTGCCCCACCCGGAGGTGGGCATCCCCTCGCCAGGGACCACAGGCATAAGGGAGAGACTCAATAAAGGCCAAGGCTGATGTCAATAGCCTCCCAGAGCTGTTCTTGTCTCGCTTGCTTCCACCGATCTGCTCCCCACCACACTTCCTGCCTTACTGGGGGAAAACCCCCGAAGTACACTTCTGTGAAAAGCGAAACTTTAGAACACCCAAAACCAGAAACTAAAATGGCAAGAAATAAGAATAAGATTCTGAGAAAAGAAAAAAAAAGAAAGAAAGAAAGAAATTCACAGGACTTCTTGAGGAGTGGGGAATCCAAGCCTGCCCTGCAGAAGAGCTGAATGATGGAAAGTTTCGGTCATGAGTAGGCACAGATGATTTCCAGAGAGAAGTAAATGAAATGTATCTTTCACTGTATACCTTTTGCTAGTGCTTGAATTTTTTTTAACCAGGTGCCTTTTTAATGTTTTCAATGAAAGAAAACTATTTTTTAAGTGGCCTGCCATGCAGTCATTCTGTGTGGCTCGCCTCCAGTCCTTCCTGCGAGGACAGAACAGCTCAGTCATGGGACTTCCCTGGTGGCGCAGTGGTTAAGAATCTGCCTGCCAAAGCAGGGGACACGGGTTCGAGCTCTGGTCCAGGAAGGTCCCACAGGCTGCGGAACAACTAAGGCCGTGCGCCACAACTACTGAGCCCACGTGTTACAACTACTGAAGCCCGCGCACCTAGAGCCCATGCTCCACAACAAAGACAAGCCACCTCAATGAGAAGCCCGTGCACCACAATCAAGAGTGGCCCCTGCTCACCACAACTAGAGAAAGCCTGTGTGCAACAACAAGGACCCAACGCAGCCAAAATTTAATTAATTAATTGTTTTAAAAAAGAACAGCTCAGTCAGTGTGGTCACACATCCTGTGGACTACATGCACCTCCAAATCAGGCAGCTCATTGTTCTGAGGACTCAAAGTCATGTTTAAAATCAGAGTCAGGTAAAGTAAAACTGAATGAGTAATTTGCTTCCAGAATGTGGAACACACAACACAGACCAATGCTGCTTCCTTGGGCATCAGCCTCTCAGGGACTCCGGGATGGGGTTAGCAGTCATGACTCTGTCCTGGGGAAGAACTGAGGCTGTGAGTCCAGACGAGCCCATCACCCTCAGGTCAGGCTGGGTCCGGACTAAGGCTCAAGGGTCAGATCAGGATCAAGAGGAAGGATGGTGCAAAGACTATAGGGTCAGACGCGCACAGGAGTGTCGAGCCCCCGGAAAGAGAGAAATGAAGGGCAGCATCCCACAGTCTTCAACAGGAAATGCCCTTATTCTGAGAAAAATAGCTGTGGAATCAGGCAAGTGACAAGGGTGGCAGCTGGAGCAGTGGGAACGAGAATGAACCCTGAAGGTCTGTAAAGGAACCAAAACGGATGATCAAGGCAAACTCTGTAGAAAGTCTCTGTTTAGGAATTTAAACCCCAGACAGAGTCTCTAATGTGAAAGGAAGGGAGTTGGGCGGGGGTGGGGGTGGGGGTGGGGGGGTGGGGGTGGGGGTGGGGGTGGGGTTACTCAGCCGCTTGGTGTTAGGGGAGGGGATAGGTGACCAGGCTGAGACTGAGTGGATGCCTCCATTTTCTACCCCTTTGGGAATGTCCATCCTTCACCTGCTTCCTGATCTAGTGTGGCTAGGCAAGATCTTCTTCTCCATGCTCCACTGGCCTCCTCTCTCCAGAATCCATCACTGGAATAACTCTGGTCTCCTTCTGAATAGCTCAATTCTACCCTGGGGTCCCAGATTAGAAAACAAGGTTACTTCTCTCCATCCAACTGTTAATCCCCAGTAGCTTCCCCTGCCCTTCCCAGTTCATGTCACAACTGCCTTCTTGCTCAGATCTACCCACCCACGCCCCTGCTCCCAGGTCTTACAGACTTAGAAACACAAACTCGTTTAAATATCCAAACAGAAGAAAACCAGAATTGGTGGTCGAACTTTCTACGCCAGAAAATTTCCAAATTATCGGCTATTTGGAGTGGTCCTTCTCTATTACTGAGACAAGGACCCAAAAGGTTACATCACAGAACCTTAGAGCTGGATTGAACCGGTGAGCAGCCCGAGGGGGATGATTCAGCGCGTGGCGAGCAGCCTGAGGGGGATGATTCAGAGCGTGGCTTTAGGAACTGAACTTACTTATTTGGATTCTGTCTCTACTCGTTCAGTGGTTCTCAAAGTTGAGTATGCACCAGAATCACCCGGAGGGCTTTTAAAGATAAAATTGCTGGGCCCCATTCCCAGAGTTTCGGATTATTTAGGTCTGGGGTGGGGCCCAAGAATCTTCATTTCTCACAAATCATCCGATGACGCTGACGCTGCTGGTCAAGGAACCACACTTTTGAGGAGCACTTGCTAGCTGTGTTATCAGCCGTCTCCCATGTATATTCCGGACAATAATCGTAGGTATTTGCTAGGGCTGGGATTTACCTGAGACCTGGCATATGAAGGCTTTAGCATTGTTCGGGGCACACAGCAAATTCCCTGCTCTCACTGTTGGATGGAGGGGAGGAGTCATTTGCTAAGGACCACCCCGGCGATGAGAAGCAAACCTGGGACGGAGCCCAGGGGCGCCTCTCTGCCCGGCTCTGAGCGCTCCGGCAGCGCAGCCCCTGAGCCCGCGCGCCACACGCTGCGGTTCCATAAACAAGCAGCTTCCGCCGCCAGCGGCTCGGCTAATGCCTGTCGTCTTTGGGGTGGCTAGGACCCTCCAATCTTTACCGGCGCTGAGAACCTGGCCACGGAGACTGCCCCCCGGGGTTTGCTGAGATCCGGAGAAGCTGGAGCACCCGGGCTCCCAGCAGCGGCGGCGGCGGGCTGGGTGCATAAGGCCGGGGGCGACCTCGGGGCAGCCGGGCGTTCCGCGGCGCGCTGCAGCGCTCGGGGGCGCGGCGGATGGCCGCCTGCACCTGGCCCGGGAGAGGCGGGGAGGACGCGCCCCAGCGGCAGTGCAGGGCCCGCCCCGGCCCCGCCCTCCAGGACTTCCCGTCGGGAAACCCGCGACCTGCAAGGCCGCGCGGCTGTGGCTCTTCCTGGGCGCGACAGGTAAGCGGCAGAAGCAGCCCGCGACCCTCCCCTGGACTTGGAACCCAGAGCTCTCCTGCTTCTCGCGACTTCCCGCCAGTCGAGCTCGCTTCTGCCAAGTCCTTGCTCCCCACCTCTCCCCTCCGCCCACCTTCTACTCCTCCTGTTCTTCCTCGCCACCCCGCGACAGTAAAATGAAGGGGCAGGACCGGGCTGGTCCATCTGTCGTGGTGGCCTCTAGCTCCTCCCTCGGTAGGACCCCCTCTACCTTTGCGCCTTCCTGAAAGGACGGAAGAAAAGCTCAGGTCTCTGGGACCTGGAGGGGTAGGATGAAGAGGGACTAGACAGCGCACTCTCTCGGGACCCTGTGGCCTCTGCCCTTCACCCACCCCTCCCCCCGCACCGCACCCCTTCTGTGCCCCATCTCCCCACGTTGGGCCACCCCCTGTTCTCCGCTACAGAAAATCTTTCAGAGAGGTTTCCTCCTGCCGGTGCCACGCTGCTCCTGAGCAGAAGGGGCTAGCGGTGAGAAGCCTCCCGGTGGGCGTAGGGCCTCAGATGTTCTTCCTCTGGAGGCTTGGGCCTTTCAGGGGCGGGAGCTGTGTACACGGTATTGTGGGGAGGGAGTCTGATGGGCGTTGATGATTGTAACTGTCACCAACTTCCTGATTCCCTGTCACTTGTTCCAAACCCCAGGCTAACCGAAAGGAAAAATAGTTTGTTACTTGCCCCCAGAGCCAGTCATCCCAGACCCTGTCATCCCAGACCCTGACCTCGGCAGCGGGTAGGACAGGGCTCTCCTGTGTGTATGGGGGTGGAGGGAGGGTGTCAATTTGCCAGCAAAGCACAGAACAGACCCCGCTATTAGCCAACCACCCATTGCAACATTCACAGGGAGGATTTTAATGCTGCCCTCTCAGTGCACTGCCGACTCACAAATGTAGTTTACAGACACTGCATGAAGTTAACAACTCTGGACACGCCAAGGAACCTGGGGCTCATTTTGCCAGAGATGTGTGTGCACTACCCCCGCCTCATTCTCCTCTGCTACGATGAGCTGTGTCTCTGCCCATCACAGGAAGGGTGAAAAGGATTAGACAGGCAAATGTGTGTGATAATACAAGCTAAGGTGAGGGGTTTGAAATATACTTTAGTTCAAATTATCCAGCAGAAGCCAGTATCATTGCAGGTACTTCCCTAGCTCCTGTTTCTCAACAATGACATTCACTTTAGGCACCCAGAGGTAACAAGAGAAAACTACTTTCAGGGGCACCAGGGCAGTAAGCAGGGCAGGTCTGTCAAAGGAACCATGAAGGATACTCGGCTGCCTGAGATGGCCTCATCCTTGGTAATCACTAACCACAGTTAGCAGAACAGCTGATTCCTACCCACAGCAGAATGGAAGAACTCACACCTGCAAAGGGGAAGCCCTGAGGAATGTCAAATGCCCTCTGAGATCAAAAACATCTTAGTCCAAATTCAGTTGGGAGAAAACTGAACAGGAGATGTGACCATGGGCTTAGCCCATGTAGCCATTGTCTAGAACAGAAATTAGGAATCAGAGGGGCAGCTCACCCTAGGGCAGAGGCAGTGGGTATAATGGAGGCAGAGAGCTGGCTCAGCTCTGTCACCAATTTAGCTGTGTAGCCTTGGCCAGATCACATAAACACTCCCTGGGTGGGAGCAAATGACAAGGAGTATATGAAAATGCTTTGGCAACGCTCCAAGTGCAACGCAGCACCTGGTGTCATGGTTAAGACAGTGGGCTTTGGAAAGACATGTGCTTGGGAGCAAATTCTGCCTCTGCCACTTCCTAGCTCTGTGACCTTGGTCAGGTTACTAAACCTCCCTGTGCTTCAGTTTCCTTATGTGTAAAATGGAAAAGACAACTGTTTGTTGATATGGTAAGTAGTAATATTAAAAATGGCGGTGGTATTGTCCTGAACCTCCTCTGGCTCCATGGATGTGTTCTGACATCTCCAGCCCTAGAAGTGCAGCTGAGGACCAAAGTGGCTTTCTATGTACCAGAGGGACCCAGTGACTGTGCCAAAGATTTGGGCGAACCTGGCTCCTCCTACACCCCTCTGCCCCTCTCTGGGAAGGCCCAAAATGTCCTTTCTTTTGATGGGAATGCGAGTGAGGGTTTGAATAAATGGGAGGTCAAGTGCAGGGCACTGCCTGTCACTGTGTTGAGCTCAAAGCTGTAATTGTGCTGTGTAAAAGGCTTGCCCAGTGAACAAGGATGGGCTCAGTCTGGGGAGAAAGAGGACTGTTACAAGACTCTTTTGTGGCACCTGAGAGCCCTGGGAGGTCAGGTTATTCTCCTGTACCCTGTGCAACCTGGTCCTGAGCCCTAGGTAGAGATTTGAAGAAAGGAAGAAACCCAATCCTCACTCTGAGCTCTGCATACGATAGAAAACAAAGAACAGACAGATCAGGGCAGGGGAATTAACAACCAAATACCTCAGGACAGAGAGATGCTGCAGGGATTAGAAAGCTGGGTGAACTGGTAGGGAAGAGCATACAAGGGGCAAAAGATTGGGGGCTAGGATTCAAGGATTGGGAAGAAGAAAGAAAACAGGATCTACGTGGCGCAACGTCTAGACTTGTTGGTTCTCCCTCCCCCATAAAAATCTAGTGAGGAAGTCCCACATGGGGAAACATGGGCAGTGAAACTTGGAAACAAATACACCCAGATACTGAGGGCAGTAAGATGCACCTTAGTCTAAGAAGGCTCCTCGGAGGAGGGGAGTTTCAGGTAAGAATTCGAGAGAGAAAGGGAACATGGCTTGCTTAGCAAGAATATGAGGGAAACACTTTGAAGAGGAAAAGATAGACGGTGAGGGTGAGTAGCAAACAGGAAGCCGACTGCCCAGGCCATGTTTCTGCTACAATCAAATGGCACTAAAGGAATATGAATATGGCTCTTCTGATTGTGAAAGAGAGAGAGGCCTGAGGCAGAGGGAGGCTGGCGGGCAGCCTCTGCTGATTCTCCGGATATTGGGCGATAAGAGCACAGTCTCAGATGACGGTTTTGAAAAGTGGAGAGAGGAAGAGAAGGGTCTGGGAGGTAGAGAATGAATCAGCAGGACTTGGGCGTGGGCATGGACTGAACCTGATGTTGAAAACCGTTTAGAAACTCCGTGCCTGGGAGTAGAGCAGGGCCAAGAGTTGTTTCCAGGATCTCGACACTACTGGCAGCAGTGGGGAAACTTGGGAAGGCTGGCTAGCTTAGGGGGCAGGGCACAGACACTGAGTTCAGGGTGTGGCACGATGAGTATCCAGTGGCCCTAGGCAGAAGTCCTACCGCCAGGAGCACCCTGTGCGGTGAGGACAGAAGGGAAAACTTCGGTTCTGTCCTCACCATCACCTGCCCCCCAATCTGGAGACCAGCGCAAGCCTGCAGGAATACCCCTCCTGTTAAACTCCCCCATCCGTTCCCCTTCCTCTGACAATCAAAGGATGATAAGACTCAATCCAAGTTCTTTTTTTTGCCTTCTCTCAAACCCAGCCTGATTGTCACCAGGGTTCCTAGATAATTAGGGAATCCCAGCTCATACCCACCTGGGGTCCTCCTTTATCCCTGGATTCCGAGGAGTCTCAAGGCTCAGTTTGAGATAGTTGCACATCCCTGCCTCACCTGGCAGGGCCTGGAGGTCCTCCATCCAGTAACAAAAACCTGTGAGCTGTTGAACTTCCTGCTTGGTCACATATTATTTTGATTTTCAGTGACTTTTACAAACTTGGAATAAATCAAGAAATATTTACTGAGCACCTACTATATGCCAAGCATATTCTAGGTGTACAGTGTGAGTAAAGTTGGGTTGGGTTTCTCAATGGAAAAATCTGTTTGGGTAACTAAAGCTTAAAACACTGTGCAAACAAAACATAAACCTGCATCTACCAGGGAGAAAACCTGACAGACTAGCTACTGAAATAACTTTCAGTGCATCTTTCTGGGAAAATGACCACGCACTGCAGCTTTAGTCTTGGGGGAAAGCTGAAGTGTCTTCAAAGTGTAATTATGGAGAAAAGTGAAAACCTCCCAGCATTCCGTAATTCAAAGGGTCAGAGGTGGGAGGAGGAGTTGGGACCAGATAGTTTTGCTACTTTGTTCACGGCATGAGAACAGAGGAAGTGAAATGCAGGCAGGGTTTGATGTCCAGAAAGTGCCGGCAGGGAAGAAACGGAGAATCATTTGTCCAAAACAGCCTCTTGGCTCCCTCCCCCCAACCAGTAGCTTGAAATTGACCTGTCGTCCCCCCACCCCCAGCGCGGTGGTAGCTCCTCCACACACATGCTCCCAGTGAGAGCGGCAACAGTCATCACTATTCAAAGGATAAACCTGTAATTGAACGGTAGTCTGACCAACCTGAGCAAACATCCCTGTTGGTGGTGTTGCCACTGCTAACTTCCTGGTCCCCACGTCTCCAGAAGGTCAGCCGCTCCACTGATAAACAGAAAGAAACTTTGTTACAAGAGGCCACCTGGCCAGCAAGAGCACGTTCTTGGTAACTAACACCCCCCCACCCCCACCCCCTGCTTTCACAAAAGGCGCAACTTTACCTGGGACTTTGATTTGCGGCATCTTTAAAGCATTTGTAGTCCTAGGTGGGAGTTGGAGGAGGGCAAGCCCTGGCGGGTGGTGGGAGGAGGGGGGAGGGGAAGAGGGAGGGGTAGAGGCGTGGGGGGGGGGTGTTGTCTATGAGTGGAATTGGGAGGTTCTGGAAAATTGCCATGCCCCAGGCTCAGGAGAGCCAAACCTGGTCCCCAAACTCCCCAGGTGACCTCCAAGGGGGAGGTAAGAGGGTGGGAACAGAGCAGTGGCCTGGGAGTTGGGAGAGCTGTGAGCTGTGTGACACAAGAGAAGTCACCTAACCACTCTGGCCTCACTGTCAAATGAGAGTAGTGGACTCAGACCTAGTCTAAGTGCCACGCTGGTGTGTAACAACAGATCACGTAACTCACATGCTTGTTGGCCGTAAGTGCATTCAAAACATCATTCAGGGGCTTCCCTGGTCGCGCAGTGGTTGAGAGTCCGCCTGCTGATGCGGGGGACACGGGTTCGTGCCCCGGTCCGGGAAGATCCCACATGCCGCGGAGTGGCTGGGCCCGTGAGCCATGGCCGCTGAGCCTGCGTGTCCGGAGCCTGTGCTCCGCAATGGGAGAGGCCACAACAGTGAGAGGCCCGCGTACGGCAAAAAAAAAAACATTTAGTGAAGCCAGCCCTCACCCTTGTAGCTTTAAAGGGGTCATGTTAACCCCACCGGCCTCATCTCATTTAACAAGGGTTTATGGAATACCTGCTACATACGAACCTTGTGCTAGACTTTGCAAGTGATTAAAAAGGTGAAAATAACCTGTCCTCTCTGGTCCAGGAGTTCACAAAGGTGTGA